AGGATCTTTGAGAAATTTAGGGTAGATAGCTCTTGGTTACTTGACCAAACTTGCAAAAACACTTGCCTATTTTTCAAAACCACACATCACAACACACTTTCAAAACAACTTTCAAAAACATTGAAAACTTTTCAAAAGATAAGTACACCTTTGTATACATCCAAACATGGATCATTACAAAGGTTGCCACCACAATGGCCTCTTTTCAAAACATTTTCAAACACACACACAAAGCACCATTTCAAACAATTGAAAACACAAGGCAAGTGATCTAAGCAAATAACTAAGAGCCCATGGATAACCATGGATAGAAAGGGTGCTAATACCTTCCCTTTCTATAATCTACTCCCCGAACCCAAGAAAACATCTCAAAGGTTTTTGCTGTGCTTTTTAACCTTTCCTTAGGATAAAATAAAAAGTCGGTGGCGACTCTTGCTCAACCGAAACATTTGCGAAAACAAACGCAAAACCTCAAGTCAGTTCTCCCACCGTATCACATCATGTATAAGTGTGGTTCAAATCTCAAAGGCTCCTTTCGTGATAAGTGGAAAAATGGCTAATATCTCTCTCTCTTGAGGTCAACTAGTCATTATCTGTAACAAAAATCTAAACAACTCAAACTTTTTTATTCGCTCAAGCACCTTTTCTCTAAAACCCTTTTCAGGTAAGGACATGATTAGTTTACTTCTGTGCCAATGCATAAGTTTCCAAAGGTCGAGCTGCGGCAGAAGGCGAAATTAATATTGTCCATATAAAACACAAAACAAACAAAACATGTGAGCTAAACTACGGTAGCTCTAATTCCTCAAAAAGAATACGTAGGCATTGAGGTAGGGCCCAAGCGAGTACAACTTTATTTTCCCTACATTCTTTTCTCATTTCTTTTGCATGCATTCTTTAGCAGTAGTAAACAGTAAGCATAGATTAGACACACTCATAAGATAGACAACAAGAGTGGATACCATAGAGTACTACGGGTGTGTGGGGTGCTAATACCTTCCCTTTGCGTAACAGACTTTCTTACCCGATCTCTCGGTCGCAAGACCGTGATTTCACCCTTCTCAGGTTTACTCGATGTTTACCTTTCCCTTCATATGGGATAAAAGGCGTTCGATGGCGACTTCATTGTTTAATTATTTTTAGCCGGTTGTTTCACCTATGTGTAACATGTCGGCACAAAAAAAGGATATGGCAAAGTCTGTGGCTAGAAAAAAGCCCACTTCTCGGTATAGGTCGTGCCTTCAGACATTAATGGGAATTTCAGATTTGGCCGACGGATGTGCTCGTAATATACCTATGGAGGAAGGTATTTTTAGTTTTAACTATTACGAAATAATAAGTATAGAGGATGTGGATCAAATTCTTAAACATGAAGAATTAGGCCTCGGTGTTGTCATTACATACATAAGGTATTATCCGATCAACTTTATTTCGTTTTTATTGAACAATTTATCTACTAATTTCATTGAATGGTCTTAATGTTAATGATGTACTTATTTAAGTTTCATGTATGCCAAATTGATGTGCCCGCATCAATTGGACCAAATATTCTCCTTCTTATCTCCAAGCAATATCAACGCACTATTAATCCAACAACGACCAGATGATGTAAAAGAATATTTTGTCCGTACATTTATGGCCAACATAGATACAGAAAAATTGTTTTTTTTTCCATTTAATACTGGCAATGGGTAAGATTTTTATTCAAACTTCATCTGTTATAATTTTTCGTGTTTTGACATTTTATAGAAAGTTTCAATCTAAACTTTGTTAATCTTACAGTGGACACTGGTTGTTGGTTGTGATTAATCCAATAAGAAAGTTGTATATTATTTGGATTCATTAGAAGGAGATTGGACAAAATACCCATACATGAAGGAGATGGTTGATACGTAAGTTAGATTATTCTAAAACTTCATTTGTATTTTTTTTTATGTGAGACTGTTCTAAATCTTCGTTTATATTTTGTTAGGGTTATACAAATTTTTAGATCACAAAGAAATAATCAAGTACCAAAGAGTAAGGCAAACAATATTACATGGATTAGAGTGCATGTATATTTTTATAATTTTGATTATATTAGTGATGCTACTTGATAAAACAGGTTAAATTATATGAGATGATATATATTTGTATATTTTTCCATGTGTAGTGTCCTCGTCAGCGCAATGATATAGATTGCGGTTATTTCTTGTTGAGGTTTATGAAAGAAATTATTCTTTTGAATCAAATAGAGATTCCATCCATAGTATAAGTTTCTAACTTATGATTTATTCTAATATATTTAACACATTTCATCTAATTAATTTGTTTTAACTAAATCATATTATGTAGTACTTTGATGAATACAAGTGTTCTACTTATTCGAAAGATTATTTGACGAAATTAAGGAGGATTGGTGTCAATTCATTATTGAGATGAGAATTTTATAAGGTATTATGACACTTTCATTGATCATAATTTTGAGTATATATAAGTTTGAGTTAATGAGATACTATGTCATCATAGTGTAGTAAATTGTTGCAATGTTGTTGTTATTGAGATGAAAATTTTGTTTGTATTTGAAAGTGTATCGGGGAATTTTTAATGGTGGGTTATAACGGAATCGGGGAATTTTGTTTCTATGTATGAATTGAGGAATTTTTAATGGTGAATTATAACGGAATTTTTTTTGTTTGTATGGATGAAATCGGGGAATTTTGTTTGTATGCATGGTATGAATCGGGGAATTTTGTTTGTATGTATAAATCGGGGAATTTTTAATGGTGGATTATAATGAAATTTTGTTTGTTTGTATGGACGAAATCGGTGAATTTTATTTGTATGCATGGTATGAATCGGGGAATTTTGTTTGTATGAATCTTGATTTGTTTTTGTTACATTGATTTTTAAGTGTTATATATATATATATATATATATATATATATATATATATATATATATATATATATATATATATATATATATATATATATATATATATATATATATATATATATATATATATATATATATATATATATATATATATATATGCCTTTATTTGTTTTGTTTCAGGTAGGTGCATATGTGTAGAAGATATATAGATTCATTTAGGATTCTTCATTGTTGTTGTTTATAGAGAAGATAGTGGAATATAGCAGCTCTAGAAGATAACAATATTAAACGCTTTAAGTTGTATTTATGTATATATAAATTGTTAGATTAAAGTTGTATATATAAATAGGTAAATTTGGTGCATATTTATTGGATTTAAGCTTCAAATTTATAAATTCTGGTGCAAATTTGAAAGACAACGCTTAAATTTTAAGTGATTATCTGTACAGGGCGCTTAAAATATAAGCTGAATATATTAAAAAATCTGTTAACATTAGACAGCGCTTTAAACCAAAAAACGCTGCCTATGAAATAACAAGCGTTGTCTAAAAGGGAACATTAGACAGCGCTTAACTAAAATATATATAAAAAATAATAATACAATAGACATCGCTTTACTATAGTGTGCCTATAGCAGCGCTTTCACTTTAGACAGCGCTTGAGGAAGCGACGTCTAAAGTGAAAGCGCTGCTATAGACACACTATAGAAAGCACTTACATTGTTAAAAACACTGCCTATAGGGGCCTTTAGAAAGCGCTTATTCAATAAAGCGTTGTCTAAGGTCTATATTAAGCAGCATTTTCACATAGACTAATAGCGTTGTCTAAGGTTACAACAGCGCATGAATATGCATCACTTATAAGCGTTGTCTATGGCAACAAAAAAACGCTGTCTATGTGCTTGTTTGGCATAGTGTTTATATTCATGCTTGATAAGTTTCTCCTCTCTGAAGAATGTATTTATTTTCCTATTAATATTTTTCTCTTTCTATACAAACCAACCCATTTAAATCAAACTCATAAACGCGAGAAATTGCCGAAGACACTTTAGTAGCATTAATCGCTGTAGAGACGATATGATAAAATTAATTACTTACTTTTATTTGCCGCTTTACCATTTCAATAACCCTTTATTCATGATCGATAAACTATGCAAAATTTTAAACACTCCAGATTCAATTATAATGCAATAACCAAGATCGTAAAACATGCTTACGGAGGATAAATTTCTTCTCAGCTCGGGAACTTAGATCACAATGCGTAGAAGGAATTCACGTTTGTCAAATAATGTTTAGAGTACCTCAATTTAATTATATTTAACCATTTATTTTTTATTCCATCATTTAGATATTCTTATAAATATTTTAGAAAATAATGTTATAAAATATCTTGATGGTGAAATTTCTTTACTATAACTTTTTTTCAAGTAAATCACACACATAAATAAACGTAAAAATTTACCATTTGTTAATTGATTTAGTGATGATTGACGTTAGACTTAATAGATAAGATTATAATTTAATCTCCGCAATTGTGATCAAAATAAAATTAGAATCATTTGATGTCAGAACTGATCTTCAAACTAGATTAATCGATCCAATGAATCAGATACTAAGGGTGAAAACAAAAAAAAAAAAACGTAAAACTTTATTTATTTTTCGGTGTGATTTATCTTAAATTGTGATAATAAAAAATTTGAAATATTATTTTCAATATTGATAATAATAATAAAAATAATAGAGTATCACATGATATTTGTGAGCTTGTAGTATTTGTTTATAACTTTTTCAAATAAAATAGCAAATTTTGTAACCAATTCATCATTTAAATTTATTTATATAAAAAAAATTACCAAAATGAAGATAATATCAAAATCAAATAATTTTTTTTGTAAAATATTTTCTTATTTACTTGGAAGCTGAAGAGTCATTGAACAATGAATTTGAGTCGTTGGATGTTATCACATCAATTGTTATATTGGCCTATAAAAACTCTGGGACCTCAACTCCCTTCTGCACAGTCTCTGTTTACACCATTTTCTTACAATTATATACAGTCATTCTCATACAAGGAAAAAAAATCTCCCTCTCCCTCTCTTTTTTATATCTCTATCTGTTTAAGAAATGGAATCAGATCCTAGATTTGCAAGAAAATTTGATTACCTTTCTAGGGATTTTCCTAGAAATCCTAGTATAAAATCAGAGATCCCCACATTGGTTCCATTGCACCCAAGTTCAACTCTTTCTCACTCACTATCACATTTCAACACCTTTATGTATCAAAATGCTCATAAAGAGACTAGATACACTCCATTGTACAAGAATGCATCAACCAATGGATTCCAGGAAAAAAATATCGATGCTCATAATCCAATGACATTTGCACCAAATAACAACAAAAAGGAAGTCATGCATGGACGCCTTAACAGTAGCAATGGAATTTGGGACTTATCAAAGCAAAATCTCTTTCGACATGGAGTGAGTCCATCTTTTTCACCATCACTAGTTTATGATGTGAATCCATCTATCGGAGTTAGGTCTAATCCTCAAGGAGATCTTTCATTCATTGGTGGAATGGGAAACAAATCCCTCCACAATGACCAAGAACTCCTTCTCAGCGACAAGAAGCAACGTAGGAGAGTTTACAAGAATGTTGAAACTCAACATACACATCTCAATATAATTAAAGGCCAATGGACTGAAAATGAGGACAGGTTTTCAAATCATTATATTTCCTACACTTTTTTATAGTTCTAGCACCACTTTATTATTTGTTATCAATTATGGACATAAGTGAACAATAAATAGTTTTTTATTTTTATTTTTGTAGGATTCTTGTTGAATTGGTGGATCAATTTGGAACTAGAGAATGGTCTCAGATTGCTAAGTTTCTAAATGGCAGGATCGGAAAACAATGCAGGGAAAGATGGAATAATCATCTTCGACCCGACATTAAGGTTTCTTTCTTTTCATACATATTTATTGGAAACATAGTGTTTAATATCTGTGATATGCAAGACTAACTATTTTATATGATTGTAGAAAGACTCATGGAGCCAAGAGGAGGACAAAATACTGATTGAAGCTCACAAGAAACTCGGGAACAAATGGGCTGAAATTTCAAAGAAATTGCCTGGGCGCACAGACAACACCATAAAGAACCACTGGAACGCCACTAAGCGTAGCCAAATTGCAAACAAGAGGCGTAGCAAGCGTAAAAGTTTGAAGCTAAATCAACTTCAAAAGTATATCATTGAAGTCGAAGCGGCAAAGGAAGCTGAAAAGAAGAAGTTGGAGGATTCCATTAGCAGGACGAATATTGGGAATCAACTAAACTTCAACAATGCCAATGGAAGTTCTGAAAGTGGATTCAGTTCTGGAGGTTTGGCTACTCATCCAGAAGGTGAAATTGAAGGCTATGTTCCAGTGATGGTCAATGGTGGTGATGATGGAATGGGAAATGGATTAAGAGCAATGCATTATGATTATGGATCATATGCAATGGAGTTTTTTCCCGAGGTTCCTATGAAGCAGGAAATTGATCTCATGAAGATGTTCTATAAAAATCCATAAGGTGTTGTTGTCTTTGGTTATTACAAATAAAGTTGTCATGGATCTTTTATATTTTGTGTATGTTTGTGTTTTTGTTGGTCATATTTTGTCACATACTATGTTTTCGAATTGGTTTGTTTTCTTAATTTCCTTATGGGTGGAACTAAATCTTGTGTTAGTTTTATGATTTGGATTGGTAAGTTTTTATGGAGACTATATGTGGTCTAAATAAAATAAATATCTTCTTATAGTGTTTTATGTGAGTGTGAAAATGATTTAAATTTTTATGGAGACTATATGGTCTAAATAAAATAAATATATTTGTATAGTGTTTTATGTGAGTGTGAAAACGGATTTTTTTTTTTAATAATCAGGTATTAGATTTTTTCCCGCAAATAATCATGTTTCGGAGAAAATTATGCAAATAACCATATTTTAGAAAATTCCACAAGGAAGGAGTCAAGTGAGATGGCGCATGCATTGGCCCATTTGCCCTAAGCATCATTTCACTTGGCGCGTGCACTCTATTTTAGCCAAGTAAGATGGCGCATGCACTCTAAAAGTGAAGGGAGGCGCCATCTCACTTGGCTCCTAGGATAAAATGCATTTTTTATAAATAATTCATCCGTTTCTCCGTCATTCTTCACACTTTCTCGCACTGTCTTCTTATTTTTTTCTCTGTTATTTGCGTCATGACATCGCCCATGTTTTTTACCAGACATGGTTACGTTATTTTCTCGGCCACCAAACCTCCGATGAAAATGAAATTCTGGCACATTCACTCCATGGAGCGTCTGAAGAGAGAGTTGATGCGGTGGCTAGAGGGAGACATCGAGGATGTGGAACAAATTAGAAGGATCCAGCAAAGAAGAACAACCACCTCACTTGCGACAGGAAGACCTAATTTTTGGTTGGAGGAAGTCAAAACAGACAGCGACGTAATATTGATGATGCATGGGTCAGATGAAATTATTTTAACGGTTGTAATTTCGTAGACGGTTTATTGTGTTTTATTTTTTGTTCGCGCAAGGTTTATTGTAACAAATGATATTAATGAAAAACTGTAATGTTTATAACTTAAAAAAGTAAAGATATTTTGTAATACAATTTTTATGTGGTTGAGCTAGTAACCCGAGTCGGACAATTTTTGTGATTGTGCCTGACCTGACGACATAAACCACACTTTCTTTCCAGCTTGTCAAGGGAGTCCATTTCAGTTGTGATGCGCTTACTTTTGGGACGACCCTTTTTATTCCTTCGCATTTGGTCATTGTGCCATATTATTTCGCCATCGTATGCAGGCCAATAATCATGTTTTGCTACCAAAGGGAAGCTGTTGTTGTATACGTTAAGCAAGGTTTTAGACTTATAAATGGGAGACAGAAGTTGTAATGCGTCTTGATGGGTATAGGAACACGCAACAATGACATGAGAGCAAGACATGCGAAAGGCTTGAAACTTGCCACAATCGCACCAACGAGAAGGTAGTATAACCCTATACTCTTGTCTTGGCAGCCCCTCGTTGAGGTCGATAGTCTCTTTGACAATGAAGTTGTGGTTGTGTCGGTCGAACTATATAACTAGATGGGTGTTACTTTGGCACTTTCTGCCTTAATATACTTCATGCAGCTTTCACTCCATAGTTGTCCCGATTGCAACACAACATTCCATATTTCACCTCTTTTGGCAAACAACGAAGCAATCCTAAAATATGTTGATTTAACCAAAACAATTACTGGGAGGTCGTATGCCTTTGAATATCCCGTTCATGGATTCAATCAGATTTGTTGTCATGTGGCCCCATCGTTGTCCATTGTCGTATGACCTAGTCCATTTCTCAACCAGAATGTTATCGATCCACCTACCGGCGTCCGGATTTGACAATCAGATCTCGTTGCGATAATATTTGAAGGTATGTTGTGTCAATGCATACCCTGCATTCATAACCGCTTTCCTAAGAGCTTTGTCTTTGATCTCCCTCGTGAAATTTTGGATGATATGTCTAATGCAATAGACATACGTAGAAGGAGGGTCATGCCAACCGTTTACAGGATTGTTGTATGCACTCTCAATAGATGCATGTCTATCAGAGATCAAACATAGATCTGGTTGAGGAGCCACGTGTTTTCGGAGATTCTTAAGAAAGAAGCTCCAAGCACCACCAGTCTCTCCCTCGACTAGGGCAAAGGCAATTGGGAAAATGTTGTTGTTGCCATCTTGTGCAACTTCCATCAGTAGTGTGCCTTTGTATTTCCCATACAACCAAGTCCCATCAATTTGAATAATTGGTTTGCATGACACAAACCCTGTGATGCAAGGTTTAAAATCCCAGAACACTCAACTGAATATTCCATTTCTGGTGAGTTGACTACCATTTGGGGCGTACGCCGGCAGTGTTTACATAATATAAACAGTACCCGAAGAATAAGTCTGAAGTGCATTCAGGTAGCGAGGAAGTTCTTTGTATGACTCCTCCCAGTTTCCATATACCTTTTCAATTGCCTTGGTCTTTGATAACCATGCCTTTCGGTATGACAGAGTATAGTTAAATACCGTAGTGATGTGAGAGATTATGGTTTTCACCTTCAATGATGGATCGTTGCCGACGAGTGGTAAGATTTCTTGACATATGAGATCATAATTTAGTTTTCGATGATCCTGTGATTGAGTAGAACTGACACACGTGTGGATGGACATAGAACCTATGATCCAACAATCACCTCTTAATTTGTACGATATAGTGAGCTTGAACATACAATATGGGTGGATACACTTGATCTTATACCTTTCTGGATTTACACGATCTACCTTAAAATCGACCGAGTTGAGCATGTGAAACTTTTTATTGCTCGGATACATTCTTCTCTATTACGAAATTTGTCTTTCTCTTTTAAGTTTTCATCTGACTGCATATACGGATTGAAAAATAAATCAGATGATGGTTCATCTCCACCCATGTTGAAGTTTTTCATGTGCAGAGGTGGTGTGTAGATCTCATTTGAAGGTATACCAGGTATCCCATCGTCTTTGGAATCATCATTGACCATGTCGTCAAACTCTAACTCGTCATCTTCTTCTTCGTCAATGACATCTACTTCTGCTTGTTCGGTCTCCATAAGATCAACCACTTGTGATAGCTGAGGCTCTTGCAGCATAATGTAAAACTCAATAAAGTCGTACTCAAAATACTCATGACTGGAAACCATATTCTGAAGGTCCTCGTCATCTTGAACCTCAACCTTATAAAATAGTATTTGGTTGTTACAAAAAAAAACCGGATTATGATAAAAGATTTGTGTCATGGGACCTCGTCCAAGTTTGGCCTCCAATCGTTTTTTGAAATACAAGAAATTGGCTTTCCTGTTTAAACAAAATCTGATGTTCTCAGTGTCTCTAAACAAAAACCCAGAGGTGGGAAAAATGTATGTCTCACCGTTGAAATTTGCACTGATCACATAATGTGGTGCATAGGCCATTGTGTTTGAATGTCTGATGGTTTGAAGGTTTGAAGGTTTAAGTGTTTGATTGTTTGAGTTTTGAGTTAATTATTTGAATTTTTGAATGTTCGAGTGTTTGAGTGATTGAGTGTAGAAGTGTTTTGATAAATGTAGGATTAAATAGGTTGTACTGAATTTGAATAAAACAATAGTAAGCAACCTCTAATTCGCCTCCCTACACGTCCAATCGTATTACATGCATGCAGAGATGCATTCCCCAAGGTTGTCACCTAACCTGCACCTACACTGCAACCCATGCCACCTCTTATTCGCCAACAGGGATGGCGACACCTTTCATTTTTGTACTCATTCTCCAAGTCCAATGGCGCCTCCCTACACGTCCAATCGTATTACATGCATGCAGAGATGCCTTCCCCAAGGCTGTCACCTAGCATACACCTACACTGCAACCCATGCCACCTCTTATTCGCCAACAGGGATGATGACACCTTTCATTTTTGTACTCATTCGTCAAGTCCAATGGCGCCTCCCTACACGTCCAATTGTATTACATGCATGCAGAGATGCCTTCCTCAAGGCTATCACCTAGCCTGCACCTACACTGCAACCCATGCCACCTCTTATTCACCAATAGGGATGGAGACACCTTCCATTTTTGTACTCATTCACCAAGTCCAATGACGCCTCCCTACACGTCCAATCGTATTACATGCATGCAGAGATGCCTTCCCAAAGGCTGCCACCTAGCTTGCATCTACACTACAACCCATGCAACCTCTTATTCGCCAACAGGGATGGCGACACCTTTCATTTTTGTACTCATTCGCCAAGTCCAATGGCACCTCCCTACATGTCCAATGCATGCAGAGATGCCTTCCCCAAGGTTGTCACTTATCCTGCACCTACACTTCAAGAGTGACACTTATCATGCATGCATGCACCCACCAACCACCTCACTTACTCTGTGATAAAATTTTGCCTATAAATACAGAGCCTCACATACTTCTATTGCATCCACAATCATCTCACTCTCTGCTACGAACTATTTCATAATCTCATACAATTTCAAAAATGGATCTTCTCACAATGGGCGATTCTCACAGAGGCATAAGGAACAACATTGCAGCATTTGTAAGTTTCTTGTATACTTATACATTTTTAATACTTCTATTAATGCTTTATACATCTTATGGACTCTTAAAATTTTTACATTCTTAACTTAGGATACTAAAATATTCAGAATCTGGTCACACAACTACCTTGCTCCCTACCCGTTGATCATACCCTATCTCGAATACGCAGGTTTTGGAAATGTTATAAAGATCTCCAACTGCACCATTGATTCAAAGTTCATGCTTGTAATGTTGGAAAGGTGGATACCAGAGTCCCAGACATTTCATCTACCAACAGGTGAATGTATCGTCACACTAGAGGACGTGTACATGTTATTGGGTCTCCCTGTCGATGGTAAGGCGGTTAACGGGTCAGTTCAACAACCCAATTCTCTGTGTGAAGAGTTCTTGGGCAGGGATATGGTTGAAGGTGGTGGTGCGAGAGGTCAGG